TGAGAAAAGCAGGGACTTAATTTTTCCGTAAGAAGCCTTGGCAATGGCCATTTGGCTTGCGGACTTAGTCATGTCCCCAGTGCTGCCTAGTTTCTAACACAGACAGGACCATTGCTGATAGTTCAGCTAAACCTTACAGTTATGTTTCCTCAGAGGACCTTTTTCTACAAATTGACCATGGAACTCTCTTTCTAGAGCTCTGGCAGTGGAAAAACAGACCTTAGTTGCTTCAATCTCTGCCCCATTGCCAGAGCAGCCTCCAGGGCATGAGTGGAAATGAGAATCGAGACCAGGCTCTTTTGCAAGCCGAGCTCAGAGACACTCAACATCACTGTTGTATCCAGCAGCAGGCACAGATTCCTGAAGTCAGCACACCCAGTTTATTGCAGGCTGTTATAGATTATTTCCTGAAGGAAGAGCAATAAAAGTCTCCACGAGGATGCCTTCTCTTCTGCATTTGATGGACTGATTTGCATGTATACAAATAGCTAAATATCTGCACCAGGCAAAGCCCAATCATCTATACCTGTTTTGCTTTTTTTCACTAGCACAAATGACAGGCAGCTTAGGAACGTGATGGGCATTGGGGAAGGAGGGTTACAGCACGCAAGTTATCTTTTGCGGGTACCTTGGTATGCTGAGTTTCTCACCAAAATGTTGACATAACAACCTCACTGGCATTCTACAAGACCCACAGACAATCTCATTTCAAATCCAGGTCCTACCACTGTCCTTCTCTCACCGGGGATTCAGGAGCACTTGGTAGGCTGCCTGTCTGCAGGAGAGAAACCGAGGTTGAACTGCAGATGTCTGGGAAATTCCCTGCTCATTTCCAGTCAGGTGTGTCTGTGTGGCAAGTGATAAAGCTCTATCAATAAGGCACAAAGTCTCCCAAGCACCTGGCACAAGCTTGTAGAGATGTGTTTCAGAAGAGTTATTTTGGCCCATGCCAGCCACAGCCCTCATCCGCAGCATCCCTGAGCCTTCGCCTCGGCTGGGATTTCCTCCCACAGTCCCATGAGCTCAGCCAGCCCCTGGAAAAGTCACTGCCTTGTAAACTTGTGTTTTCTTTGTCATTCAAGTGAGCTGCTATTTCTGGTACAACTACAGTTACCATGGTTACACCAGCTCATAAATAGGGTCAGAAACCTTGGAGATGTTTTAAAGTGATTCCTTGGAATAGAGAATAATCCGGCCAGAGGTAACAAAACTCATGGGTTTTCCTTTGGGGACACAGGGAATGCACTTACACTACTGCTTGGACCCCACAGCTTCTGGTGCAGCTCTGGTCTGTGTTGGGTGGCAACCGATGTGGCCCGAAAGGCCGGCGCTGGCTTTCCTGGGGCCAGGGCAGGAAGACACTGGGCAGGGACGGTCAGGGATCGAGTACTCAGTCCCTGGTCAGAACTCGTCATCCATCTGGGGTGGCAGCCACCCACCGACACAAAGCTGGCGCCTGTTGCTAAGCAGAGGAGCTGCGCACCTGCATCCCCGCACAGCAAATGCCACCTGCTTTGTGAGGGGAACGGAGAGAGAGAGGGGATGGATGGAGAGAGAGGAGGAGAGGGGGGAACCGCCTTATAATCATGGGAGATCAGAAAGAACGTGATAAGCAGGGCCCTCTAGGGAGTTTCTGCCATGTTTTGTCAGTGGCCAAAAAACAGCTTTGTGTGACACCATGGAAATTTTTTTCCCACGTGTCCACTTTTGTTAAAGAGAAATGAGCCAAATGTCATTGGGAAAACAGGAAAACAGAGGGGGTGTTTTGAAAACAAACAGCCTGAAAAAAAAGCAGATTTTTAAGGTTCAGAAAAGGGGAGTAGGGAGTTGTAGAGCTGATTTCCCCAGCAACTCTACCTACATAGGAGAAGGCAGAAGGGGAGGGGAAGCCCCCAGAAACCTGTCTACAGCAGATGGAGGCTTGGGAATGAGCAGCTCGATGGGAGCGGAGTCTGCTGCCAGCAGGCTGCACCTCTTTATATCCACATAAGCAGGTCCCTGCCCACAGTAATCACTTCTGCTGTCAGGAGCTGCTGAGCGCAATCAATCTGCACGCGTTTGTGTACAAGCTCTAGTCGTCACAGGGAAGAGACGACGCCAACACGATGCTGCCCCCGTCCTCTTTCCTGTGCCCAGAAATTATCTTTGGAGCAGCCAAGCCAGCTGAAAGCTGTGTGATTGTCCTCAAACACATGGGAATGCTAAGTGTGTTTGCTGCTTCTCTGATAGATTGAAAGCCCCTTGGCTGCATCCAGGATTTACTTCCCAGCTTCTCTGTGCCTATTCAAGGGCTAGGGCCTTATTGATTTTTTAAATGTAGGCTAAGAGTCTCGCTGATGGATTTATCTCATCTATCTTGAGCCATCTGAAAAGACAGAGGCCTCCACTGTGGGGCTCTTGCTCAGCACCAGAGCAGTGCTGGACTGGTCCCTGGTGCCAGGGTCTGTCACGCAGAGAGGTCCTGTCCTTTCTCAGCCACACGCAGTCACACCCTCGGCTGGCATGGCTGCTCTAAAATCCCCTTCTCCAACCTCACCCCAAGATGACCATCCATCACTATAAAAACCCGCACCTCGGTTTCCTTCTGTCTCTTCCAGATGTTCCTTGTGCAGCTCCTTCCTCTGGGGCCATTTTTGGTCCTGCCAGCCCTGATCTCATGTTGTGAGGTGGATGCTCAACAAGAGTGAGTAAGCAGTGCTTCATCAGAACCAGCGGACCCAAGAAGATGGTTATGCTGCCCTGTGGTTACGCCTCAGCTTAGAGAGCTTTAGTTCTTGACTGAGGTGCTGTGCTGCTGCAGCTGAGGGTGATCTTCCAGCACCTTCTAACAGGGCCCTGGACCTTCTCTTTTCATCCTGAGACTCTTCCCACTTTCCCCACATCTCTGACACTGGTCTCCAAGGTAGTCACAACAGGCTATTAAAACGCATCAGAGATACAAAGCACCTGATAAAACAGTGTATATTACCATCCATGGAGTTTCATTGGGTTGGAGTTTAGGCTGAGGCACCAGCTTTTCCCTGTCTCTAACAGTCGCCTCACAGAAGTGATGCTACCGGTACCCACAGGTGATCTAGCTGTTCCCCTCAGCTCAGCACCTCGGGTCTCAGACGTGACAGACCACCCCACTGGCTGGCCACCCACGTGCAACACAAAGGTTTTCCCTTCTTTCCCCACCATCCCATCTGCTGGATGTGGGCAAACATTCATCGGGGGCCCATGCCACACCTCAGCAGCTTTTCATGTGACTCGCTTGAGTGAGCTCAGCCGTGTCAGCACCAGGCGGACTGCATGCACCACTCTCTCAGGTGCGTCTTGACCCCTGCGGCACCACGGAGAAGTCTGCTGGAAGCCTCTCGGTCTGTTCAACAGCACAGGGGAGGGACTTGGGGTGATTAGGACGAACTCCTCCCTTCCCTGTTTGTTCGTGGGCGTGTGTGTGTGCTCATCCACAATTGGTGCCCTGGTGTCACCTGGTGGCAGGGTATATCTGGAGGAGAAAGGACACCTCGAGACCCTTTCTACGCAGGCTGGAGGACGGGAGTTGAATGTTTTGCAAGAGGAGCCCTCGGCACTGTAAGTATTTCACAGGAGCTCAAACGAGGGTGGCAGAGGGATGAAAGAGGAACTGGCTGCAAAACCCAGAAGAGAAAAGTCCTGATAAAATCCCATGGGGGAAAAATTTGGATGTTTGTGCTTGGAGAGCGTGAACAGATCCTGTAGCGAAGAGAGGAAGTTATGGGTTTTGGGTGGTCATTTTCTGTTTCCTCTAACACTGGGGCAAGTGCTGCGACAGTGGTTTGTCTCAGAGCTCCCTGGCTGTGCGAGCAGCTCTGCCCTCCACGGGGCCACGCGGTTTCTCATGCCAGGCACCCCTCGGTCAGGGGTCCCAGGCACCCCCTTGACTTGTGTCCTTCGCTGGCTGAGCCTGCGTGTGGGCAGCACCGGGGGGCTCCCGATGAGCGGCTGGGACAGGCAGCTGGTGTTCCCTGCCCTGGTGCCCAGCCGTACATGCAGAGCACATCAGTGGGGATTTTATACTGTGTGATGCTGTACCTCCAGTGTTACCAAATCCCTTCTTTCAACTGGGATAGTCTTTCCAATGATGTTCATCCTGGAAGCACTTGTGGGAATATAGTTCTACTTGAAATGAGTTTGTGTCTTTTAGAGTGCATCCTCTTTCATATGTTCTTGGTTTTAAAACTGCTGCTGGAACGAAGGGTCTGAGATTCCATGTAAAACACAGGGTCAGAAGGGGCTGAACATGCACGGACTTTTTGCGTCACTATGACTAGCCAGCTCAAGCAACTGAGGCTGGAGCTATGAGACTCCTCACTCCTCACAGGCATCTTACCCTGGATACAATATTCCCTGATGAAAGGCTGGCTGCAATGATGATGCTAGCAGCTCTCATGAGGTCAAGAACTGAACATGCAAGAACCTGATCAAAAGGAATGTCAAACCAAGAATGTTTCCTCCTGTATGCTGTCTTCTCCCAGCATATCACTGCATGGAGAGCCACAACCCATGGGGGTTTCGTGTCTGACACCCCTGAGGCACCATGAAGACAAGCGCACATGAAGAAGTCTGTATTTTTGAAGGTTTCAGACAAGGGAAGATGAAATCCTACATTGAACCTGTCTGAAGAAGGTCGAGTGAGGCATCTGCTTTATCTGTCAGGGAAATTTTCCATAGAGAATCAGAGATTGAGGAGTGGGCAGATTAAAGATTCAGTATTTGTCAGTAGTATTCAAGCCTCTTTAAGTTCAAAGAAAACTAGAAGAAGGACGATTAACCTGGCCAGCAACCCAGAGGTGGGATATCTGACGCAAATGAGACAAGCCCATTATGATGGATTAGGTATAATTAGCATCCGGACGCAAGCAAAGCTCTTACCCAGAGGATTAAATCCTGGACTGAGCAGAAACACTGTCAGGGGCAATTAGGCAACATCTTGTCAGAGGAGTAGGCAGAGGAAGAGCGTGGAAGAACATTTTTTTCCCCAACAGCCATTGCATCCACAGCCTTCAGCTCTCACCCAGGAGCTGCATCCCAGTGCTGGTGGCAGCAGAAGAGCTCTGGCAGCCCAGGAAGCACTGTGGGGAGGCAGCATAGCGCTTGCAGAGATCTAGAGAAGGAGACTCAGTCTCGTCAAACGTTTGTCAAGCCATCTGTTTGGTGTGGTACTAAGGAATATCCAAGTAATCAGGTATGAGGAAGCGAAAGGCTGGGAAATTCCCCTGGGAAGCTGCTGTGGGTGTCTCTTTCGCATCTGTGATCCTGGAGTGCCTGTCCACTCGTGTTTGGCTGCATGCAGGGGCAGCTGGTTCTTTAACTGTGGGAACTGGGGCAGCTCCAGTGCTGTGGGGATTCATTCACGCTCTCTGCGGCGTAAATTGAGACATCTTTGCCTGTGTGTTATGTCAAGCAAGTCCCACGAGCTCAGTGGTGGGAGGGCAGCTTGATTTCTTCTGCAAGATAGAGGCTGTTATATGTCATTCAAGTTGCTTTCCATCCTCTGCCATTTCTTCTGGTGATGCGTGGAGAGAATAGGTAGAGGGAGGTTGGTAAGAAAGAAGTTAGAATTGTCCCTTTGAGTTTCATTGAGTGGTCTTTTTTGAATTCATGCATGTGAGAGAGAGGACAAAGTGTGGTTTGGGCAGATCCTTTTTTCCTAGCAAATCCTTGGTTATTGGGTAGCTGGTAGGTGGATACAACTATATCAAGTTGGTGGTAAAGGAAACTCCGAGGGCTGAGTCTTCCCATTAGCTATTTCTCTGTTGAGTGAAGACAAGGGACAAGGCACAGACTAAAGGAACTAAGAGGAGCTGACCCTCAAAAATGTTCCTGTGATTAAGGTACCATGCTGGCAGGTGGCAGGCGTTGAAGAAGTAGGACAGGAACTCACTTGGAGATGGAGCTGAAATACATCTTACAGGTTTTGGATGCCAGTCCAAAGGGTTATAAATCTGCTAGCTGGTTTGTTTCTTCTGTTGTATTTTTGGGAGTAGCCCTTGAGAGGGGTGCCAAGTATCTTGGCATGTCAGATGAACGTGGTGCTTAGAAGTGGATGTGTGTCTCTTGCAGTTCAGGAGGGGTATCTAGCACTGAGACAGACACCCTACTGATGAGAATTGCACCTGAGCAGAGGTATAATGCTTTACTTTGTGGCATTAGCAGACATGCCACAGAACAGTTTTCCAATGCAAAGCATTTTGTTGTAGTGCAGTACCACCTGAATTCCTCACTGATCCTGAGTGACGGTGAGGTACCAAATTCTCCCTTTGGTTTGGAGCCAAACTGCCTTCACCTCTCAGTTTGGCCCTAAAACACTGTGAGTCAAAAGATTTTGTCATTCCTCCCAGCTGTTGCAGTCCAGGTCATACTGATCGCTGAACCTCCATTCACGTTCTGTGAAAGATGAAGGTGACAGTGTTTCCTGTCCTGCCACCGTGCTGTGAAGATAAAGCTGTAAATACTCAGCGATTGTTTAGGTGCTGCAGAGGTGGCAGCCAAATAAGTAACTTCTGCGATTTGAGCTGATCCCTGTGTTTGTGGGCACAGTGCGTGCTGAGGAAGCGTTGTGTTACAGGCAGGGGAATAGCATCTGTGCATACTTCAGCTGCAGACACAACCATCTGCTGCTCCATTTGGGGCTGCTGGAACCCTTCCAGTCTCCTGCTCAGGATAATACAGCTGAGACAGGAGCCGACCACAAGCAACAGAAGAACTAGCATGCCTGCAGGTGCTATCATTAGGATCCATCCTACTGCCAGCACAGATGGAAAGATGTCAGGGGTGAAGGATTCCCAGACTGCCACAGATACAGAAACGTGGCTCTTCTTGCACTGATGTGGAAGTGACACAGGAGGATTGCTTAGATGGTGTTTCTCCTTGCATCTCAGGCTTTGCTTTCTGTCACTCTAGTTATTTCAGGACTGTCAAACACATGAACTGTCTTCAGGCTAGGAAAAAAAATACCCATCTTTGGTGTTTATAGTTCTGAGATTAAAAGTCCAGAGTGTTACTGCAGATGATGTTGGGGATTAGGCCAGAGTACTATGGCGACATAATGGGATTTGGCTTTAGTACCAAATCCTGAAGTTAATTCCATCAGCGATTTCTTCAGCCTGGCTGCACAGGGACAAACACCTGGAGATAGGAGTTACGTAATGGTCACGGGGAAGAAAGTGGCTTCAAAGAGGGGAGAAAATGTTGGCAATTATTTACGTTCCATAAATGCACTTGTCAGACCATTCTAGCATACTAATTAGCACAAAATTTGATGAATGGCTAGAAGCTCCTCCTTGGGCACTGGTGAGAGTTATTGCTGTCCTCTCTGGAAAGGAAGCGAAGGGCTCCGAGTGCAGCAGTTCTGCCCTCCGAGGCAGGAGAGATGTCTCCCACACAAGAATTTCTCCCTGATAACTGCTCAGCCCCTGTGAAGTGGAGCTTGGCTCATGTGCAGTGTGGTGCAGAAGAGGTCAGCGCATGTAATATAATGCTCAAAAATACCAAAATGGACATTTCCTGGGGAAAGTTATGGGCTTTGCTCTCCTAAATCCTGAGAAATTAACTTCTGTCTAAAAGACAGTCTCCAATGCTTTGCCTTAGCCTTATTCACAATCTTTTAAAGATCCTGCACTATTTCCCTTAAGGTTCGTAATGACAAACAAGAGGCCCTAATTTGCAGCTACACCCAGACTAAAAGCCCATCTAGCTCAGATCCCATCTCCATCAGTGTCCAAAAGGTACTGCTTAGGCACAAGTATAAGAACAGGTGAAGTATATCATGGTGGTTCCCGAGCATAGGGTATTTCTCTAAGCCCTAAGTGTGTCTTTGTGGCGTTTAGTAATCATATACTGAACCAGTCCTTAGCTCGAGTGTCCTTTGTGTGGCATCTTAATTCAAGCATGCTGGATGAAAGGCAGTGATATCCTGCTTACTTTGCATGCATTACAATCTTTCTTTATGTTTAATATCTTTATCTTTAATCCTGTCACAATTATACTTTCTGTAATTCTGTCACCTGACAACTGATACCTAGAAATGACAAGCAGAGTGTTGCATCAGTCCTTGCTGTTATCTTGCAGACAGAGGGATCTGAGAGAGGCGTGTACCTGCCACACACAGCAGCCCAGCGATGAGTGAGACCCCAGCCACCAACCTCAACACTGGAGATGCTCCAACCGGTCCCACTACACCACGCAAGGGGCCTCCCAAGTTCAAGCAGAGACAAACAAGGCAGTTCAAGAGCAAGCCTCCTAAAAAAGGAGTAAAAGGGTAAGGGCATTTTGGAAAGAAAAGAAACCATACTAGCTGGGTGGCTCCCCACTGCTAAGATGCAGTCCTGCAGTACCATCTTCACTATGGCAAGGAGCCAGGAGACTTCTCCCTGCCCGCTGGTGCTGACTGCTCTCCCACCTGGAGCTGCTCCTTCTTGTCTGCTGCCCACCCACGCTTCTCTTTTTCTGGCTAGGAGTGCAGGGCAGCTCTCCTTTCCTGGGTGCTGCTGGCCCAAACTCAACACTTGCCTGTTCTTTTCTCCCCTAGGTTTGGAGATGACATCCCAGGCATGGAGGGACTGGGCACAGGTAAGTGCTGCAGGATGTTGTCATGCCCTGCTTAAACACAAGCGTAGTCATGCTTCAGCAAGGGAGAGAACTGTCTGGAGTGGGCTCCCTGTCTCCCTGGCCTCTCTGCAGCTCTTGCAGTGGACAGAGAAGGATAGGACTCCCTCCGCAAGCTGCCACAGTCATGCTTATGCTTACATATGCTACAAGGCAGAAAGGCTATTTAGGCATGCTTCAATTTCTGAATACTTTCATTTGGCTCAAATGTGCTTGTTTGTCTTTGTTTTCTTCTAATACTCTGGCTAAGAATTTCAGCAGAATCAGGTTCTCAAAGAAATGCCAAATGCTAGGCTATTAATACCAAAAACCACAGGAACTAAATCCCAGCTGCTTAAGTATTTGTGTTATCACCAGAATCCTAATTTTAAGAATTTTATGCATGTGTCTGGGATTGAGAAGCACAGACTGAATGAGCTGTAGCCAGTCAGAACTTCTCAGGTGTCAATAACAATTGCACCTATCAATGAGTTACAGATTCTAAGTGCTGTAGACCGAATTATTCAGGATCTGATTTAAGATTGCACATGTCTTCAATGAGATCACAGTTTGGCTACATGCAGTTTACAAGAACAGGCGAAACCACATAACCAGAACAAATTTTCACATCAGTCTACGCAGTCGCAGAAGAGACTATAGGAAGTGCTGGTTTGCTTTTGCTTGCAGAGAAAGGTGGCACAGGGGAAAAACACAGTGATCTGGTTCGGTCTGGTAGGTATACCAGTCCTGTGGTTTAGTTTTAGATAGTCCTGCAAGGAGCAGGGAGTTGGGCTCGATGATCCTTATGGGTCCCTTCCAACTTCAGATATTCTATGAGTCTATCCGTTCTTTTAACCTTCAAGTGTAGTCTCGTTCTTCTTGCTCTTCCCACCTCTAATGTTTCCTGAGGATATCAGCCTTTCTATTAATACAAAAGAAAGCCAAGGAATGCAGTGACCAGAACCCATTTCTCACTCTCTCTCTTTTGCAGATATCACAGTGATTTGCCCATGGGAAGCTTTCAGCCATCTGGAACTGCACGAGCTGGCCCAGTTTGGGATCATCTAAGGTGCCAGCATCACGACTGGTGTCACCTGGTGACTCCACAGATTCCAGCATGGTTTTCACCACCTTTGAAGCTTTTTTTTTGGCCCTTATGCCCAGTTTCTCATGGGCAGGGTGGATTTGTAAGAGCTAGTTATGAGAAAGTCCTTTGCAGATTAATTTGGCAAAGAAGTTATTCAGGACCCTGAACAGACCTTGTGCTCCGTGTGATGAAACTACTGAAAAATGTCTTAATGCCTCCCTGCATCATGTCCTGTCTTCTCCCACTGTTGTAGATCTTCACATGTATGGAGATAAGGGAAGGCTATATTTGAACTTTTCCCCTAGTTAACGTTTCCCCTGGTTAGCTGAGATACCATGTGCGTGGCTGTGCATGTAAGTCCAGAACTAATTATATCAAGCCCATTCTTTTTTCTTCCTTCCCTCCCTGACAGTCTTCTACATAGGATTTCTGTGGGTACGTCCCCATGTTATCCGGGCCACCAATTAGTTGCTGAGAGTGTATCTGTAGAGAACAGTATCAGAGTTACCAGCCCAGACATTGGGCTATTTGTATGTGGAAGGAGACCCTTCCCCAGAGGTTCACCATAATGAAACTGCTGCTAAGATGTACCTCATCAGCAAGAGGAGAAAAAGGCTTGCAAACATTGTCTCTGCTGTACTGCCCACCAGCTATGAGCCATGAGATTCTGGCTGTTCTAATACTATTAAATGAAAATGTGTATGTCTCAGATCAATAGGTAAGTGAATTAATCCTACTATTCATTCCTTTTGTGCTCCTGACTGGTTGCAGTTCCAAAGAAGCAGCTCTCCAAATGACTTTGTGCTTCTTCTCCTTCAAGTGGGAGGCCCCTGCATCACACTTGCACTGTCACCAGGCCCATACATATCTACATGAGGTATTCACTCCCCAGGACATGTTTGCTGCCGATTAAGACAGAGAATCATTACGATCTGTCACCAGACAGTGCCAGCAGTCCTGCCTCATCTAGCAGAAGGTGGTAGTGCATTAGTTGCTCCCTCTTCCCTGTATTTAGCATGGGGCAAGTCTCCCTTCACACCACCCTCCATTAGCAGGAAGGCTTTTCTCTTCATCCCCTTGCAACTTCAAGCTCTGGAGCTTGTCTGGACAAGCAGGCAAATGGTGGTTCCCCAGGGAGAGATAACAGCAGAGCAGGTGGGGAGGCAGGGGGAGGTTAGGATGTCCATATGCAGACCAGCACAGAGCAAATCCACTTAACCCTATCGATTTGTGTCTACTGGTCTCTGGCAGCTGAGTGCCGGTGAGTGGTGAGGCACTCATAGCCACTCCAATGCTTGGGGAAGGCACCGAGATTCCCTGCCGCCCTGGCATTAAGGACAGGCTTTTGTTTTGTTTGAAAGCAAGGAGCAAGCTTTTTTTGAAAGCAAGGAGCAAGCTTTGTTGTAGCTACATCATGTTCGTAAGAGGAGACAGCATTTTTAATCATTGCCTTCAGCTTGACAAACCTCATTGCACAAGAACTGCCTCCCCCCAACTTATCTTTCCTGTGCTGAGCATATTCATAGGAGCAAGGAGGGGTTGTGGAGAGGAGAGCAAATCCTGCATAAAAGATCTATCCCCACGCATAAAGCATTGCTATAAATCCATGGCTGTGCTATAGTTATCCGCTACCGTTATTCCAGAAATAAAAGCTAGCAGTTTTCATTTAAAATACAGCTTCTGCACCAAATGCTAAAGGAAATTTCTGTTGGCAGCCCAGAGTACAGCTTCTATTATTCAGCACTCCTGCCATTAGAAACAGCAGTAAACTAACGAGCAGCTCAGAACCGCAACACAATCACAGCCCAGGAGTCATGTACCATTTAGCTAATTGCAGCACATAGCTATTTCCTTGGGCAGAGGCAGTCTGCCCTTTCCACTCACTCCCGGTTTCTCCCACCTTTCTCACCTTTTAAGGCTTTTCTTCTTTCTCTAATTATTCTTTAAGTAAATGACATTTTATTTAGTTTTTACTGTAGGAGACTGATTTCATTTTTTTCAAGCTCACATGCTAGCCCTCTCCTTCTGTGCTTAAATGTGAATGTTCCTATGTCAATGTTCTTGAGCTTTCCCTTACATTACACCATCCTGTACCATGTGAACCTTATTCCACCTCTCAGTCTGTCCTGTTCTATCTGGGAAAAGACCCACTGGATCCAATTTTGGATCTTGCAAGCTGGCTGCCTCTGTTATCATTGAGGTTTTTCCCTTTTTCAAGCAGGAGAACAACAAGAGGAGAATGTTTGAATAAGTCCTTTTGCTCCCTTTTCATCCCAGGCCTTGAGAAAGCAGTCCAAAGATAGTGAGATCCTCTGTCAGAAAATACTGGGGTAAAAGCAAAAAGTTCTCCTTAGCCCAGGGACTGAAGCATTTAAGCAAATGGGAGGTCCTGGTGTAGTTCCACATCTGATTGCCATAACCCCATCTCCCGTCAGAGAACTACTCCATTCTCCTTTCTAGAGGAGTCCAACAGGAATGCACACATAACCCAGCTCTCATGCCTGGCTGATGAGCTGTATCATAAGATGTTTTGAGTCAACACAGTCTGTTAGATATTTTTAAAACAATTTCTATTCATTAATAGGGATAACATTCGTTCCTTTACTTGTAAGGAATTTTGAGACTTAGACAAGTAGTCTTAACACATCCTCACAGCTGTTTTGTCTGAGGTTCTGAGTTTTTTCTAATGAGCTACAACCCCTTAAACTTCCATTTTCAAACAGTGAGAGATGGCTATGGTGCAAGAAAGCAAATGTGTTAAAGTAACTTGTTGAAGGACTTCAGTCTGTATACATTGTAATATGTTATTCTTTGTTCTTTTACTATAAAAACAAGTTAAAAGCAATAAAAATGAATAAAAAATATTTTAAAAATCCTAAGAGTGTAGTCCAACTTGCTTACAAAATACATCCAGAGAAAGGCAGATGACTTAGCTTTGCATTCTAAAATCCTTTCCTGAGGAAAGCTCTGAAAGCCACTCATCACCCCTCCTGAAAGAAAAACAGCTATTTGTCTCCAAACAATAGGCAATAAAGACAAACTGTGATATCATCCGAGAAGCAGTTTCTCCCTGAGTGATGACAGGTGTCCCAGACGTGGTACACATGATTTCCTTAGAGCTGAAATCTTTGGGCCAGTTGTGCCTTCTGGGACTCTTTATGCAACTGAGTGTCATCATGTTTCTACCCTACAGCAAAAAACTACTGAGATGTGAATGCCACTTAGTTCCTTCTCTTTGCTATGACTGCAATATACAGCTGCAAGTTCTCATCTCCTTTTGCTTCTTGTTGTTGCTGAACTTTCCAAACATTCATAGGGATTTCTACTGGTCAGGTTCAGTTGCCTCCTGGTGTATGTGGCCAGGTCTCAGCCTTAGAAAGTGTTTTCTTTTGTGCCATCTTTGGAGCTTGTTTCTTGCAACTCATCACTGAGTGTCTAATTGAAAGTCTTTTGTCTTTGAATGCTCTCTATCCAGTGAGATACAAATACACATTAGCCAGGAGTGATTTTGGGGTGGCTTTTTATAAATCCCTTCCCAACAGCGCTTGAAAGCCAGGTTTAGCTGACGTCTGGAAAATTCTGTATCACACCAAGCATGCCCTCAAAGAGGAGTCCCATCCTCATGGACCTCAGTTTCTGGCTCTCGTGAGAAAGTTAAATAACCTAAAGCTCTGCAAGCAAGGAAGAATTAACTTTGGGAAAAGTGAGAAGCACTTGTCTTGCTTTTCCTCCCCTAATATACCTAAATCAACTCACAAATCTCAATTTTAAGAAAAATGAATCTTCAGTGTAAGTTTGATTCTTCAGGAAATCTGAAGATGCTCAGTGCAATATTCCCATCCTCCGACAGTTTGCAAATCAGCACCTCACTCAGTATCAAGCCACTATCACATCTTCCCATGGTATTGATCAATATGGTATGGACTAACAAATGTATGCTGACAACATCACTGTGTGTTTTGTGGGGCATTTTTCTATTTTACAAATGGGATTTTGAGAGTTAGAAAAAGTAGTGTCAAGAGTATCCATCACCTTTAGGTCTGCAATACAGGATTTTTCAGAGTACATAACAATATGTCTTGGTGTTTAAAATACAGCTGTCATTGGTTGTGGTTGCAGCTATGAGTGCTCATTAGTGAGTCTCACTCTCTCTGAGTCTGATCTCACTCAGACAGCAAGATCCAGCACCTCAGCCTGGAGATACGAGGAACATGGAGTATGTCTTTCGAGATCATTTATTTAATGCCTCGTAGGAATGACTTGTTGAGCATCACTCAGGGTGGGCAGGTTATTCCCACCAACAGTCCGTTTCAGCATCACCACACCACTGTGATGCAAACCTAGACAGATTTGAAAAAATTAACAGAAGATCATGCAATTAAATTAAAGCTTGTATCACATGCTTATAAATGTGTTCAACTCTGGAATTTCCTCATATCGGACTGCTTAACTTTGAAATCTTACTTCCAGTCCCCATAGTGCTGCCATGGTTGTTAAAGCTGGGCTCGGCTTTGTACCCTGACGTTAGGCACCTGCACCTCCAGACGTTGTCCTGACTGCCCAAGGCAGGGAGCACTTCTGGCTCCCAGGCTTCCTCACACCTACTGTAATCCACTTGTAGGGAGCGGGTTGGCTGAAGCCTCTGTTCTGGGAGAACATAAGGATTTAATTCTATCAGTTTCAGCTTTTAGCTTATCTTTAACAAGTGCTCTCATTTTTTATGTGGTTCCCCTTCTTGAAGCTTAGCATAACTGTGGTGAGATTTTCACCTCATGCTGTTCCTGCTGGATGAAATGGATACCTTCACTATGAAAACTCATTGCCTTCAGGCATTTTCAAACACTTTCTTGTCTCTGGCATTTTTCTGAGGGCCTCTCACATTCCTTAGGCTGTAAATGAAGTGGCTGAGCATAGCAATCACCAGCACGTATGCAACATACACCAGCCTGTCCCAATGGCTGGGCAGACCAGAGATATGACACAAATAGATGAAAACGATTACCCTATGAAGAGTATGACTTTAATGAAGGGGGCCCTGGGAGTCAAGAAGGCTTTTGGTATGCATGAGAGCTTGGTCAGGACAGTGGTGAGCACAGGAAAAGTGCATAGGAAGGAAAGATTCCTTCAAGGGCATAGAGAGCATGGAGCAGCGATGCAGTGAAGCCCCTGCTCTGTGAGCTGCCTTTCAAAGCACTACGCCAGGCTCTGCCCTGTAGACAGCGCCAGGTGGACTGGAACACTTGCAGGAGCTCCAAGCCTGTTATGGTACTGAAGAAAAGCATCCGCACAAGGCACAAAGTATC